AGTTTAGGCGGGTGATAAGAGGATTCGCCATTTAAATAGGAAGTTTTCTGACGTGATACTAAATACATATACAGGGTGGGTTTGGTATAAATGAAGTTTTGAAGTCTAAGTGTAATTGCCACTGTCCGTCCACTGTAACATGATGGGCGAGATAAGTGAGATAGTTATTATTGCCACTTATGTGTGTTCATTTGTGTGAGTTTGTTGGATAGATTGYATAGGGGGTTCTCAGGTTCTCTTATGTTTGGGTTCATTCTTAGTGCCATCTGTTTTTTTTTTTTGCAGATATTGTTTAATTTTCTTAATTGTATTACTTCTTAGCATGTTTCTGTTGTGTATCGGTGATCTACAAATAGAAACGAAGAGCTTTTCAAAATCTTTGGGTATTTTGCTTCAAAAACATTTGTCTTTSTACCTACTGAGAAAGTATCCTACTTCACACTTAGGTTCAASCTCTAAGGTAAAATTGCAATTAGTAAAGAAATTAATTTAGAAAAGTTACCATCAAATCTGTTATCTGGAGCTAGTTATTGATTACGTTATGATAAACGATTTATTTTCAGATGTGAGGAAATTGTGTATTTTGTAAACAAAAAAACCCAAACTAACCCAGAGAAAATATTCTTGAAACATGAATCCGCCTCAAACCATGTAGAACTTATCTCGAAAGTTTGTTAGCAATGCGTATAATAAATAATAAAACCTTAAATAATAGTCCTTTGCGCCAAACATTATCCTATGCCATACTGATTTCCATAAATAAGCTAACTGTTTTCCTGGCGTTCAAATGCATTTTTTTCAGGTGATTTGTCAAGGTAAAGAGCGTGTGTTTAGTCGATCGATTCATTTTGAGGCCAAATTAGTGTGTTTTTGTGTTTTCTAATGAGTTCTAGGAGTCGGTTTCTTGTTATTTGTTCCAACACTTTACTCACCACCGAGGTCTAACAGGTCTATTTTTTACTTGGGTGTTATGTAGTAAAATTTTTGTTTATAATTTAGTATATTTTTTTCCACCTCTCTGGATAATTAATTTGTTTTTGTGACCAACTTATAATGTTCGCAAGTAGGCCTGGCGCCGCATTCGAACATACTGTTAAACAATATTTGAACAATGATTAAATTCATTATTGGATAGGACTGAAGTTCAATAGCCTGCCCATCACGGTATACCAATTTGAATCTTATTATTTTTTGTTTACCTTCCTTAGCCACTCGAAGTAAATCGGTTTTTTTGCTTATATACAATGTTGTTGTTCTCAGCCAAAAAAAGAGAGAAACAGTTATAAAAAAGCAATCAATCTTGTCGCGGTCGAAAATATTAGACATTGATTGTTACTAAGTCCAAACGGTATTCTGATCGGTTGCCAGATTGCCTTATTTAATTATCTACTATATTTTTCTTATGTATTACATAAGATGAGGCGCGATTCTTGATATACCCACTTGATAAAAAATGCCTTAACAAAAAATAAACACTCCTAAATACTAAACAAAGCAATTTTGTAGGAAGGTGTACTTCACTCTGATTTACTTACTTTTTCTTAGATATTGCAGTAAAATATGCACTTCATAATGAAAATAATGATAGATGAATAAATTCTGATTATTGGCAATTTAAAATGCTCAGTCGGGAAACGAAACATGACGGTACAGCTGTTTTTTTTATGTCGGGAATACCCATATTTTGACGTACCTATTTTAATTAATTTATCAATATTGGCGGCATTTTAAAATGAAATGATCTTATCGCCGTAGCTTTGATTCACACTGCTAATATTTATTATTTGCATATCTCAATTATAGTAGAACAATTATAAAGCATTTAAATTGAAATATGTAATCACAATACCAAAGCTGTTGGTTCCACTGAATTAAAAAACAAGTTAATTAATATACAAGGTGGACAATTCGCAATTTTTTGTATCCACAGTTTAATATGTGAGCGATAGTTGGCAAGGCCTTGAAAGCTTATTTAACACTTAATTTATATGATAAAGCTATAAAGGCGGTTCAAATTAGTTTAGAACCACACTACGTTTACTTTTTAACACGTACATCGGTCGAGGATATTGGATTCTCTGTCAAAAAAGACAGTTTTTTAAATGATTAAAAAGCTTGCTAAGAATTATGAGTCGAGAGGTCGTCATTAAAATTTTTCAGGACATTTCAATGGTCAAAATACTCTAATACTGAACTACAATAGAAATAAATAGTTTCTAAGGAAAGACAGGAAGTCCTAGAATCAGTAGCAAATTAAGCTTTGCTTATTTTAATGGACCTGCAATCAATACATACCGGGTGTCGCAATAAGGATGGTATGGTTGGAGGCTGTATAAAGAAATTTTTTTGAACAGCCGATTTTTTGAAAATGATCAACATTGTTTTTCTATCCCATATCAGTTTTATCGCTATTTCAATTGATAGTAAAAACTTTGAAATCGGTAAAGCCTTGTCGGAGTTCTTTGCATTAAGCAGTTTGACTCTCCCCCCACTCCCTTTATTTGAAAAGTTAAGAAAACAAGTTTGTAAGGAAAGTAGTAAGTACGGTTTTTTATGATCTTTTGACCAAACTTATGTTATGTTTCACTTATCGGGACAATTTTTGTATAAATTCGACTTTTTAAAATGCGGTTTGCAATTGCGCCACCTAGCCGACATCTGAGAAATTTAAAAATAATTTCCAGCAAATAACTTTTTTCAAGTTTGTTATAAAAAAAAATTCCGAACACTCTACAACAAATATTTTCCAAGATACAGCCGCTTACCATCATTATTGCGACACTTTATACAGGGTGTCCCGTAAGCACATGATCAAAAGGATACTGCGATATTCCTTGCATCAAAAGAAGACGATCCGACTTAACTTTTATTAACAAAAAATGTCTGCCTCGTCTGCTATTGATTCTTAAAAAAAAACACCTTTTTTGAAATATTGGGAGAATGGTAGAATGTATTTTAGTGAAACTCGCTGTGAATTTGTTCTTACGTAAGACTCATATTTTGACAATAATGGAATTCATCCGTTTCGGACAAGTGGTGAATTCTTGAGTGTCGTGGTACAGAAACTCCCAGAACTTTTTATTTGGTGGATGAAGAGAACTCATTTTTCTTTTGGTTCATGCACAAATGATTTTTTCACAATTTTGTGCTCTTTGTAAAATCCTGTAGCATTTATAGTATTTGCGAAAAAAATATTTCTGTTTTCTTGCAACTTAGCAATGCTAGATATTAACTGCAAATATCGTGATACGAGGCAAACATTAATTGTCAATCAACCTCACAAATTCGTTTCGAATGACCTTTTCTAATGAAGAAATGTCCAACGTGGTCAAAGTATTAGGGTTTTGCGAAGAAAATTTGCGTGAAAGCGTACGCGTGTATACGCGCATTTGCACTTAATATTTAACATTGTTAAGTGGCAAGAAAACAGACATATTTTTTTGTGCAAAAACTATGAATGCTACAAGATTTTACAAAGAGCACAAAATTGTGAAAAAATCATTTGTGCATGAACCAAAAGGAAAATGAGTTGTCTTCATCCACCAAATAAAAAGTTCTGGTAGTTTTTGTATCACGACACTCAAGAATTCACCGATTGTGAACTCGATTGTTTCATCAAAATATGAGCCTTACATCGGAACAAATTCACAGCGAGTTTCACCAAAATACATCGTACTATTCTCCCGATATTTCAAAAAATATTTATTTTTTGAAGAACTTTGACCATCAATAGCAGAGGAGCCAGACATTTTTTGTTAATAAAAGTTAGGTGAGATCGTCTTCTTTTGATCCAAAAAGTATCGCAGTACCCTTTTGATCATGTGCTTACGGGACACCCTGTATATCTTCTAGATTATAGATAGCCATTTAATACAGTTACGGAGTGATTCATACGACTGAAATCTGCGTATTATTTTGAACGATGACCATCAGAATTAGACAAAGTTTGTCGTGTGTTTGCATAAAGCTTCTTTTGCAAAATTATTTTGTATTTTTGCACACACAACACCTGTAAATCGGTATCGAAGCATTTTTTAGCTATTTATATAGAAAACTAGGGTTAATTTCGGACCTAGAATTCGTGATTAAAATAATGCCCCTTCTTCATGATACGCCTTGTATATTGCTACTTGGTTGCCAATCTCGGCTTTACGGTTTGGTAATATCATTTTTAACTTAATTTTTCTCAATTACTCGACTGTTGCGTTTATTATCATATTTAAAATGAAATGTTTTGTTTTTTACAATTACGAATTTTATAAAAACGTTTATAAAGTTGCCATTATTTCTTTTATATGGCAATTGCTGAAAGCTATATGAATGAAACAAAACATTAATTAGTTGAAAATTAGTTTTTCTTGAGATTTGATTTAGTTAATCAAATGTGGCTGTGCGGTACTAGTGCAGAATGCGTTTATATTCGTATATATTTTGCGTTTTGATTATTATTATTTTTGATTATTAGATTTAAAGATTATACTTGTTCCAAACTACATCTTAATACCTGATACAAAGTTATCTGCGAAAAAAGAGAACTTATTTAACCATTTCTCAAAAGAAGTTAAAATTTGATTTAAGAAAGTGCCAGCAATAGTGCATGAAACCGACAATTAAATGATTTACATTTTTCTCCATTTAACCATTTCCATACCGTATTAATACTTGGAGGCCAACTGTTTAATCAGATAATGCTTACTTAATCAAGCACAGCTAAAAAACGATAACTTGCTGGTGAGAAAGTTTGAAGAAAAATAAAGCAAGCATTGCAAAGTAAATATTTATGCATAATAACAACGAAATATCCTTCTTTACGTGTAACTATAAATATCAACGATTAAACCAAAATAACAAATAGTGTTCGAATTTTTTCATGGATTCTGAAATTCTGACTGAGCATCCACAGAAACACATGTTTGTTACAAATTTAAATATTATTAAAAATTTTGGTTTTTAAGTTGGTGCTTTTTATGAAGTACAGGAAACAAGGAAACATGAGTTCGTACTTTTCTGTTGAATCTGTTTTAATATTTCAGCTTCGAAACATGTTATAACTGTGTAAAACGACACGCTTTCATTTTCATTTGAAAATCACCTTTAATCTTGGACTTTTATTATAATTTTAAAATTAATACCAATTTTGCAAATTTTAAAAGCAAAAGAAGACGAACATGTTAGCAGTGTTCTTTCCTCATCGGATTACAATGGTTCTCCGACTGGCCGCAACATTAATTCTGCCACCTAAAACAGAAAACACATACATTTCGATTTAAAATTGTAAATACCATAAATAAAGGTTCATTTATTTAATGAAAAAATCAGCAATTTTTATAAGTGGAGGGTTAATTAAATCCTCAAATATTCCGAAAAACGCAAAATTGATTTGTGATGATTTTAATAGGGACGTTTTGTTTCGTAGATTATTCCAATCCACAATTACCTCTTTTTTTTTAATTTATGAGGTTTGCCAATGATATTTTGGTTTAAAAACACAGCTTAGTCAGTTCTGCAAGGTGCTGAAGTATCTCTTAGATCAATATTCTTAAAACTTCCACTTACATGCAAGTGTGGTGGAGTAGTCAAAATATAAAGCACACCATTCACGATATCTTCAGGATTCAAAAAGTATTTTAAAGGGCCCTCTCCTTCTTTGCCCATGGAGCTTTTCACAAAGAATTCGGTCTCATCAACTGGACCGGGACTTAAACTCTGAAAATATTGGTGCATGTATTTTGCTGCATTTTCCTCACCATGGTTATGAATTATTTTATAGATATTTGTTCAAAGTTGCGCACCCATGAGCAGCTCTCTATACGCGGTAAATATGCAGCAAAAATGTAGAACACACGTGTAAATAGGATTTTTTGCTTAATATTTTGAAAATTTACTTACTGTTACTTTAATTTTTGAATCGATACCAATTAACTCCAATCTTAATGTTTCGGTTAGAGCAGTTAGAGCAAATTTGGAAGCTGGATAAATGCTCTGTTTCGGTATGTTATATACATGATGGCCCAAGATGCTGTTGATGTTGATTATTTGCCCATTTATTTTGTGCTTGGACATACATTTGATGGCTTCCTTTGATACAATACACGTTCCGAGAACATTTGTCTCTAAAACAAAGCAGATTGATAAATATTGATATTAACACACTTTTCTTCTGGTTCTATTAAGAGTATTATAATAATTAAAATTACTACTCAGTATAGGGGAGATCAATGTCAGATCAAATATATAACGCAATACGTTATATACAAATACGTTAAGTTCTTCTAGGATAATGCATTAATTATTATGCTGATGTTTGTTTGGAAATAAAAATATTTTTTTATGAATGGAATCATATGAAACCACACGTTTTTACAATTGACTGGATTTTTAATATATACATTACCAGTCTTAGCCATTTTACATTATTGAACAATTCGCATTTTAAGAAGTACCTTTTAGCTAATTTATTGAAATCGGTAATCATTTGTAGTAATTTTTAGAATGTTTTTCAATCTTTCTAAACTGAGGATTTAATATTTTATCACAGTGTTGTCACCTAATACTTTCTTCCATTCAGACACTTCGCCATTGTGCAAAGGAGACGGCGACAAAGTTCCAGCATTGTTAATCAAAATATGAATAGCACCAATCTGTTCTATTTTCTTGAATGCTAATTTAACATCATCTTCACTTGTAATGTCACATTTAATAGCATACAGTTTGCTTTTTGGGTTTACTAATGTTTTAGAGATTTCCTCCACTTTTTCGGTTCGTCTTGCTAGTCCAACTACCTGAAAAAATCGATCAAAATTTGCATTTAAATAAAACAAGTCGATAGTTACGTTTATTCCACACTCCACCAGCTTTTTAGATATAGCGGCACCAATCCCGGCACTAGCTCCAGTCACAACAGCTAATTTTCCAACCCATTGGTCGATAGAAAGCACCATTTCTGTTATGCAACTAAGACAAATTATTTGAATTAATTATCTATTTATGCCATCAGAATATTAGACATCATAAAGCATTAAGCCATATTTTAAATACAGTAAACCAACGTGCGTTCGGTATTATTCCAGGAAAGATAACTTCGTCTAGTCTAGTCTAGTCAGTTATATGTTTAAAACGTTTATCACGTAGCGCTATTTAAGGTTTGTTTCTTATTGAAACGGCTTGTTTGTGCTAAAACAAGTAGCGCCCTTGATTGGAATAGTTCAAGACGGTTTAATACTCACGGCGTGGAAAAGATATAAAGAACTCCTGTGGATTTTGCAGTTTCGACAAATTTTTCAGTTAAACCAATTGGCTACAAAAAACTTTTCAACAATTGTACACCTTTATCTACTACAAACTTAAACCTGCTATTTAAAACACTTTCATTAAATTTTATATTAAAATGAGATTAGTCAATTATCATTAGCATTTAAACATTTTTGAAGATGCGAGATGTGAGTTACTTGTATCTGAAAAACGCCAGAAAGACATTTTCTCACGACTTTTTAAATATTTTTGGTAAAAGTTCTGAGATGGAGCTCCAAGATGTCTAGTTATCAGTTCCACTTGAATCCGTGCGAGAGTAGATGTTTATTGATTTATGCTAACTATTTTTTGAACGTAATGAATTGAATTTTATATTTTTATTCTCATTTGCGAACCTTTGTTTCCCTGTTTTGAAATATTTGAATATAAATATAATTAGATTATTCTTTTATAAAGTAAAATAATAAAACTAATAACTTTTGCTTGCCATTTCCATAAGGTGTAGCTGAATACCATCACATTAATATGTTTACATAATAACGATTAGTTATGGAGTCACAGAATCGCTTTCTAAACATCCGTTAAAAACACACTTTTTTGGAATTGCGGCTTCAAAAAACAGTTGATGTTTATTTTTCTATCTGCAAAAGTTTCTGTTAGGAAACTGAAGAAATTAACGATTTTTTCTTACTCAGTATGACCACAAGGCTACTCAACTACGGCCTCTCTCTTTCTTAGAGAGTACGAAATATTTTATTTTGTTAACTTTTGAACTTATTTAACGAAAATTTAAATTGAACTTCACTTTGAAGCAATATTTTAGAGTAGACCAATGACCATAGGGAAAACTATCAGTATGACTAAACATTACGAATAAAACATAGCAAAACTTGTTTAATCTTGACAAATTTTCTCTATTTGGAAGAAAAATTCTATATATATATATTTTATTAAAAACGAAAAAGTAGGACGTCAACCATGCATCCATAGAGCGTGTTTCTGGTTAATTTATAAAGTGTGCTCTTCAAAACTTCAAATGTATTTGAAACTTTTCAAATATCTTGAAATTTAACAAAGTTACGGGCAAAAGAGTAGAGGGTGCGCAAATGGAACAGTAGAAGGGTTGCCAACATTTAGGGTTCATTATCTCTCAAATCGTTTCCAATGTCGCTTTGCAGACAGCTGAACTCTAGCGAATGGCCGTGGCAATCCAGAGCATTTTTCCGTTTTGAAATATCGCCAACAGTTGCAGAGTTATGGGCAAATAAGTGTACAAACAATGTGGATGGCCGTTTAAGTCTCTCCTCTCTAATCCCAAATTCCATTTTCTCCGAAACTATATCCAAAAACTATCATAATGAAAAGAGACATTTTGGTCTAAATTCTAATCGTAAGTGAAAAATTTGCGTACTTGCGATTTTGAAAAAATTCCAAAATTTGAATTGCAAATTTTTTTAAAGCCATTGAGTCACTGCTACAAATACATTTGGAGTTAAAAAAATCCTTGTGCGCCGCCAAACTTGTAGTAAAATACAGTGCTTTCAGGAGAAACCAGCCATTTGAAAATTTTTACGCCACGTCTATGGGCTTTTTAAGAGCTTTTGAATTTCTGAAAAATATTGATGCCTGAGCGACTTACAGGCGTTACACAGTTAAAGAGTGAAAGGTTGTGCAAGTTTGAGAGTTTTTCGCTTGCCATTATGCAGAGCCCATTTCCTTCCAAACTCTTGCAATTAAAAATTTTGTTATAGACAGTGAATGCGTCGAGAATACACTTTGCAAACAATCTGATGTTCTATTTTGAAAATGAGTCATTTGAGGTAAAAATTCAAAGTATTGTGTTCGGAAAGTCGTCTTTTCGACATTCACATCATCATAACTTCTAAGTTTTTCAACCAATTGGAATTTTCCAGGATGCAGTTTTTGCAGTTGCAAATTTCTACGTACAAAAAGCTGTTTCCCAAAAAAATTGCGAGCTTGAACGAATGAACGAGAAATGAACGAATTTTGAATGAACCAAATCGGGTCCGTATTAAGAGAGTTACTTAATTATTCATACTGAAGGATCTGATGCACTATACAGGGTGTCCCGTAAGCTCATGGTCAAAACTGCGATATACTTTGGACCAAAGGAAGACGATCTGACCCAACTTTTATTAACAAGAAATGTCTGGCTCCTCTGCTATTGACGGTCAAAGTTATTAAAAAAAAAAATATTTTTTGAAATATCGGGAGAATGGTACGATGTATTTTCGTGAAACTCGCTGTGAATTTGTTCTTATGTAAGACTCATATTTTGATGAAACAATCGAGTTCAGCCGTTTTGGACAAGTGCTGAATTCTTGAGTCTCGTGGTACAAAAACTACCAGAACTTTTTAGTTGGAAAATGAAATCAACTCATTTTTTTAGGCTGATGCACTAATCATTTGTTCACAATTTTGTGCCCTTCGTAAAATCGTGAAGCATTCCTAGTTTTTGCGTAAAAAAATTATGTCTGTTTTCTAGTTTACTTTCACGCAAATTGTCTTCGCAAATTGTCTTCATTAGAAAAGGTCATTCAAAACGAATTTGTGATATTGATTGACAATGATTTTATGCCTCGTATCACGATATTTGCAGTTAATGCCTAACATTGTTAAGTGGCAAGGAAACAGAATTTTTTTTGTTCGCAAAAACTATGAATGCTGCCAAGTGATTAGTGTATCAACCTGAAAAAAATGAGTTGATTTCATTCTCCAACTAAAAAGTTCTGATAGTTTTTGTGCCACTCGATTGTTTCATCAAAATATGAGTCTTACATAAGAACAAATTCACACAAATATAATTTTTTGCAGAACTTTGAACATCAATAGCAGAGGAGCCGGACACTTTTTGTTAATAAAAGTTAGGTGAGATAGTCTTCTTTTGGTCCAAAGAATATCGCAGTACCCTTTTGATCATGAGCTTACTGGACACCCTGTATAATTAGAATAACAGCATAATATGTATTCATAAATGCGTGTCATACGCGTTGGTGTTTGCCATCATACAAAGTATTTATTTTCCTAAATTGTCTATGAAATTATAAAAATTATCATTAGTCGAC